AAATATTAAGTGGTAGATAGGAAAAATCAGAATTATTAATTAATACAAAGAGGAAAGTGATTTTAAATTTAGATATGCAAGAAAATGTAATTTTAAAATGTTTGTAGGTATTAAAAATTTATCCAAGTTTAGATTCATGGCCTTCTAATAATTCAATATTACATTTAAAGTAAAAAGTAAATAAAAAAAGTCTTTTGCATTTGTTGATGTTGTATTATGAATAAGATAAATTAGAAATGAAATTAAAAATTAATGCACCTACTGACACATCATACAAAGACTATGAATCTACATTTCAAATGACATTATAATCTTTACCTAAATTTAAAAGCCCTTCACTTTTAAGTATAAATCAATATTTTTTGATTTTTGCTGTATACCACTTGATTTCGCTTGATTATTGATTATAGATTTCTATGCAAAGTAGAATTTTTATGAAGAACATTTTTTTTTTTCATGAAATTAATAATAAAGAAATTTCTCATTTGTTTCTAACTTTTTCAGATATACTTTATACCTTACTAACAATTGAAAAACTTCTTCTCTTATTATCCTAATATTATTTCACTTTAAAAGAACAAAAATTGTTTATTACTTTCAAAATTTGGTTATATTTAATAAAGAATCGACACAGAAAAATATAATAAATTATTCTAATACTCCATCAGTAAATTCTAAATAAAATATAAAATCCGTTAAGCCGGTCCTTTTTACTATTTATCTGAAGAGGCAAATCTCTTTATAGTTTCGCCTTTATCAGCATGATACTTTTAAATTCTGCATAAGTCAATTCTTATAATTGTGAATGAACCATACAATAGTATTCCTAAGCCCATACAGTTATTTGTAAGGATATAAGTGTATATCAGCTTTATTGTTCAATTAGATTTTTTGGGGTTTTCCAATATTGACTTGATTCCTTATTCACGGCACTGTAGAGAATACGACATTGAATTAAAATCAGTTATTTTGATTACATGATTCTTGCACATTTTCACAAATTTCTACGCGTATCTCGAAGTCATCTTCATTAATTTTATGTACAAACTTAAATTTACATATACTTCATCTAATTTATATACCGATGCGCGTCATCGGCGTCATAGCCCGTGACGCCACATGATACCAACACGAAATATTTAGGCGGTAGGTGTGTTCTTTTTTAGAATCACTTTGCCGAGTACACTGGCATTACAGCCACTAGAGATATTTTATTATATACGCGTAGAAATAATATAATTAATAATTTCTATTAATATTAACTTAAAGAAATACACAATAATATGTTTCAGTTAATTTGTATAAATGTATTATAAAGCGTTTTTGTGAAGAATATTTGTTCGGAACACACTGTAACTCTAATCGAACGAAGGTGATATTTTGGCATAAATTGGTAACACTTATTTGACAGTTGCGGTGTTGACACTTTTTGTACTTTATTATTTTGAATTTTAAAATGAATTCCTCTTGGTTTATATTTTTACCTATTTAATAAAATCTGTTCTTTTTAGAACAATATTAGTGTGTATTATTAATTACTATTATTATTAGTGTGTCTAATATTAATTTGTTTTGTTGTATAATCCACTTTTGCAATAATTATATGATCTATTTGATTTAAAATGGATTCCGGATTTTTTTTATACTTTGGCAACTATGTACAACTTCGATCTCTGACGTAAATAATGACGTGCAACGGTATGTAAATTAGATGAAGTATATATGCAATTTATTTATTTGAAGTTAAAGGTCATCGATCACATTAGATCTGCCACTTTTAAGCTGATACCTAATATAGGGTTATATATTTAAGCAATATTTTCCTACTGTCGGTTTTTTACTGGTTCTTGTTAAGTAAAATTGGCTGATAAATATATAAATAGGGAAAATACAAAAAAATATGTGGTATATTTCTGCCACTCTTCTTTTACTATCTCGGTAGCTTAAAAATCACAATTTGCAACAGTGTGTGAAACTGTTAGGACTTGATCGACATTTTCTCTAATAAACATAGTAAAAATCGCGAGTTTTATAGACAAATACAATTAGAAAAGTGTAAAGCCATCCACTCACGATACTACGACGTCGTTCAATTTAATTGAATTCGACTAATTGACAAACATTTTGATCGTCTGTGACCGTGCATTAAAACAAAATCGTTATAGTTTTACCACAGGAAACTGATTTCTATGATGCAATACTACAGAGTTGATATCATCGACGATTTTTTCGAACGTCACCGCAGTATCGTGAGTGGCCGGCTTAAGGCACCTAAACAAACAGCTACGATAGTGCGCAACAAAGATTGAAAATCAATTAGCAAATTAATGTAATCAAAGTAACAGATAAACAAAATAAAACAAAACAAAATAATAGATAAACATCACATAAATATGTGTTAAATCTCGTTAAACAAGCTATTAGAAGGAGAACCGATACTTTGTAAAAAAAATTGATGGTGATGCTGCATTGTGTATATAAAAATCTAAGAGTGAATTATGGTAATCTAATAAAGGATATATGTGTTTAGTTGCGACGAGTTTATTGGAGAAAAAGGCCAAAAAGGGTCAAACCATAAAACAACAACCCGTTTTAAGAGTAAATAACATATTTTCAAAGATACAAGGCAACAGTTAGGAATAGAGATAACGGACATTAAGGAAATACGATATAAATAATATTCTGAAAAATAAAAGAAATACTTTAAAACAAACAAAGATGAAGTAGCAGGAATCTAACAAAATTTGAAAAAGGTAAACGATGAATTAAAAAAGAAAATTTATTTTTAAAAGAGAACCATATTTGGAAAACTCAGTTGAAAGTTTCAAATACGATACAAATCAATAATAACAAATGTTAAAATAGAAAAGGAAGATGGAGAACCATTAATTAAGACAGACAAAAAGAATCTGGAAAAAGGAGTTCATTCTAAGGGTGAAGATAAAGAACTTGCTTAAAATGGCAATTGAAAAATGTTTATTAGAAATGAAGAGGAAACAACAATGAAATACTACAAGATGAAAGAAAACAGAAAATACTCGAAGAAAGAAAAAGATATATACCGTGAACTCTCTTTTTACGACCTCTATATGGAAATACTCGAAAAGAGAAAAATAATTGTATACCTTCTCTATACGAATTGTTTTTGAAGCAAAAATTCGGATATCCGAACCTATATATTTAAATCCCACTTCAACTGACACTCTCAACAACGGACGAGGGCAGCAAATTGTGCAAAAATAAATCTTGAATATGTTGCCTATGTGAGTCCGTTTCAAACAGGTAAAAACAAATATTGATAAGACTTAAAATCAATTTACTCTACCACCAACGACCGGTTTCGCATACTATAATTTGCTATGCATCATCAGGTCGGTACATGGTAAACTAAATGCTGAAAATATTATAACCCGTATTAGGGTGCTGTTTGGTACAAAATATATAGCAATTATATCTAAGTTTTAATATAAGTAGCGGCTTGTTTTGTAGAAAGGTCGGCGAGCTTGTTGCCAGGGGATTCCCACGTGGGACAGAATCCAGATCATGGTAATTGACACTTCCAGTGAAATTAAACTATGGCAAGATCTTTAGATAGCTTGAACGAAAGGTTATGCAGTATAGAAACTTTTAAGAGAATTAACAGACGTTAAAGAGTCGATAGAAAGAGCGTTGGATAGTTTGAACCAAAAGTTCTGCAGTATACATACTTTTAGGAGAATGAATAGGCTCTAAAGAATCGGTACATATAGCTACTTTATTATTTTCTGGCGATAATGAGTTAATAGCGTGATGCATAGAGGAGAGTTCAACAATATGGGTATAGCTGAAGGTGCGGAAGAGTGCAATATTTAATTTGATTTGCATTTGATGTCACAGTACATGTCACAGCTATACCGCTAACACATTGGTCGTCTGTCCGTCTGGTTATTGGGTGGTCTCCGCTCCTTTGTTTTACTATATTTCTTCATTTACAATTCGATCTTCTAGAGAGACACCCAACATCTGATGCACCTACTCATGAGTTTACTACCTTTTTGTAGTAAAATTTTTTGTAGTACAACAGTTTTGAGTGTTAATGTTTCTGCTCCATAAATAGGTAACACACACTAGTCAAAGGTTTTCCTTTTGAAGAGTAGATCCGATTTCAATACATAGTTTTATTTAATAAACACTGCCTAGATTAATCCAATGCGATGTTCGGTCTTATATATCTGGTTATCTCTGCTCAAACGAATTTCATGCCCCAAGTATTTATACAACAAAGTCTGTCATTATATCCTTTCCATCAACAGCAATATTACGATCTAGCACCAGATTAGTCATTATTTGTTTCTTACTCATGTTAACCTTTAGTCCGACCTTCATTGTGGGGCTTTCCAACTTTATTGTTGTTGCAACTATATGCTCGGCTATAAGGACGACCGGTGTCATCTGCAAATCTCAAATGACTAAGCTTCTTTTCATTTATAATAATATCATACTACTGGTTTATATGTGCCTTCTTACAAATAAGCTCTAAAAGTGTCGTGAATAGCTCTGGAGAGATGGTCTCTTCCTGCCGTTCTCCTCGCTATATACAGAATTTTCCTTGACGTCCTTCCCTTAGTATGCATCTCTTGGTAATTAGTTCTTTACATGCTTATCTTATAAATTGGGACTTTATCTGAAATCTATCATAATTATTTAACCAGAGATTCAAAATATACTATCAATGTATTCTAGGAAGGTATCGTTGAAATTAATATTGGAGCTGTGTAGAATGATCAATAATATTCAGATATAGTGAGTGATGTGGCAGATATTGAAGTTTATTAGAAGAATGAGAGTTGAACGAGATCTTTACTTGGCACAATATAGGAGGGAGTTTCTGTATTAGCTGATATTTGAGCCGAATATTTTAGGAGTTGCCGACGTCGTAGCCAGAGGGGATTTATTGTATTTAAACCAAAAATAAAAGTCGTGGTAATAAAAAATCATCCATTTTTTCTTTGTTGTTATAGAAGTGAGCTCCAACGAGGCAAGAGCGAGGATTTGGATAGCAGGAAGAAACACGAACCGATAGCCATCACTTCAATGTACGAAAACATGATAATCAAGCAACAGAATCCTCGTAGGAAACTTCGTAGACACCCGGAAGTATACGAAGAGTACGATTTTCGAAGGAAACACGAAGAACCTGTTGCTAGTTCTTCGGCACCCGAAACAACTTTTGTTTCTAGTGCTTTTATCATGATTTCCGACGAAAATAGTAAGTAAAAAGTGCAATATTATTGTGGCTTTTTAAATATTAGGTCAAGACAATCTGTAGTTTTGTATTACATCTGCTGATAGTGTGGTTTATGACATACATAACGTTTTATTTTATACCTATATGAGATGGTGCCATATATCAATAGCATTTATTTTTTATATATACCGAGTGCACGATAATATATATACAAGGGTTATTCTTAAAATATTTGGTAGTATGCATATCTTGGAACAAACACAAAATCACCATATTCATTTTTTGTCTTTTAACAGTTTATTGAAACCATTGTCTTACTTGAAATAAGGCTCAAAAAAGATTTTCGTTAGGCTTAGCTTTTGGCGGTGATTGACTTTCATTATCCATTGTTAGTTTTTGATCCTGTATCAACTTGTCTTCCAAAATACCCATACTTCCTTAATGCAAAAAAATAATATATGATGATTCGGGTATAGAACAATTTATCTACAACAGCGATATTGTTTATCATGTTTAAATGATTTTGATTGTTGTTAGCTCTATTATCATAATTTTCTCGTTTTATCTCCGTTTATTTTAAGACCCAAGCATACGACTATATAGCAAAGTCTATCTCCAACAATTAAAATACATTTGGACGTGTTAAGAGAGCAGACACAGAAAACGTGAAAAGACTTATTATCCAAGGAAAGGTAGAAGGCCGAAGATTACAAGGAATATTACCAACAACAAGAATCGATTAAATTACAGGAATATACAAAAAACCTATGCATGCGTTAGAAGAAATTACCAGAGACAGAAATCTTTGGAGACGGTGACTACATCACGATGACCACTACATTCCTTCCGGGGGTCAGGATTGAAGAGAAGAGATTTTAAGACCCATCGTTAAGCTTACTTCTTCAATCCGTTCTAGCAGGTGAATCAGTACAACTTCCAAACTAGCGAGGATGGCTCTATTATCTGCATATCTCAAGTTGCAAATCTTCTTCTCGCTAATAGTGATGCCACCGTTCCAGTCCTCAGTAGCTTTCCGCATTATCCATTCACTAAATATGTTGAGTAGAATTGGGCTTCTACTTGGGAATAGTATACAGTCTTTCCTCACGCCCTTAGTGACCCTTAAACTTTCGGTTAGTTCCCCATTTATTCTAACATAGGACAAACAAATAGTTGCTATTTTACAAAGAATATCTTTCAGCAGTTATTCAAATTATTCAAATTATTGTTGAAGATCGATTGATGCTCTGCGTTTAACTGCAATATATTATTGGAACCCCCATACATTCACTAGATTATTGAATATTCCATATGAATATGTGTTAATGATGATAAACCAATTCTTCACTTCCATTTATCCCAGTGTTTAAATTAATGAAAGAAATATGTAAGAGTAAAAAATACTAAAAGACAGTGTCTTTACTTAGAAACACTCCGTAGTTGCATTTTATGTCATTATTTTCACTATAGTTGAGTTTTCAAGGCCTTTGTAAGTAGTTTTTATGTTCGTGAGAAAGATATGGAATCCATAATTTATTTATCTTCTATAATCTTCATATTAGCTAGAAGAGTTTGTCATCTATATTCTTAGAGTTTTTCTATTCAAAATAGCAAAAATAAAAACCGATATTTTCCAATAGGCAAAGCTATTTCAACATCAATCATCTTCATATAAACTTCATATTTAAAAACGAAGTACTTTATATATTGGTGATATGTTGCTAATTGGCGTCTTGTGCCAGCTCAATTTATCTTAAACACTTTACACAACATAGTATCTTTATTACCAGATTTTTCGTTTGTTAACAGCCGGAAGCTCAAGCAACTCCACCAAATTAGAGAAGAAGATGCTGAGGACGGACGTCTACCCGCTTTCGCCGACTCACTATAACCAACCGCCTACTCCAGACCATCCTCCTCCTTCTGCCATGCAGGCGGAGAGTATTATCTACGAAAAAATTCGTCCATTGAGTCAGGTGAGCTCGTGACAGCATGATTGCGTCTTTGATATCCAGTATTATTTTTTGTGTACAGCACTTTTAGCATGTATTTATTGAACTGATTGCACTGTCTAGATATTATTTGCAATATTGTAACTGTAGAAGTTGACTTGATTTTCGTATTCCATCTGAAAGATGTTTAAAATAATTGATTTCTTACCAAGATAGTACGATTTCCGTTTGTCTTTATAACTCGACATGTTTCTTCAACCTTCTATTGGAATTCCTTCTTATAACAAAGGTTGAACACGAGTTTACCCATATTTTGCATCGTTAATAGAGTTTTCATCGGTTGTTTCTAAAATTATTAATACAATGTAAAAACAATGTATGGGCTCTTTCAAACACTTTTTCATTTCAGAATGGAATACGAAAATCATTGTAATATATTCCTGGAAAAAAATAACACATCAACAGAATTTTTTAACTTGAGTTAATTTTCCAGTTTTATACCTATAATCAATAGTATGCAACTTGTTAAAAAAAATGTAAGCATATCTTGTCAAGGGGATAGAATTGTTTCTTGAAACGAAGAAAATCCGGGTTCGTATCCCACTTGGGTGAAAAATTTGGCAATTATATAATTAGCGACGTGGCAAATAGATATAGGTTCTGAAGCCAGTAACGCCAAAAAAAATCAATTTTTTGTGTAGTGGCATTTTCAAACGCAATCGTAAAACATTTCATTTGTAGATTTTCTTCTATCCCTAACTACATACAACTACAACAACCAATGATTTGAATATTAACCAGTGAAAAAGTTTCCACTGTCAGTACAACTCCGAACACTTACTTGGTTTTAGAAATTTCAAATTTTGCGGCAGAGTCTTGGACGATGTCCAAGCTTCCTACTTGTTAAGCCATAGGTCATTGAGGTCGCAGGTACTAGGGCAGTTTGGGTACTTTAGTATATGTTCCCTATTCTGTTTGGTGCCACATTCGCATTTATTATATGTTTCGTATTTGAGATCCTACTCTATTTGATTGGTTTCCAGTGGTTTTTTTCACCCCTGTTCTTATTTGGTTCAGTGTTCTTCATACTAGCCACTTGGAGTTCGCACCACTGGCATCTCCATGGTGACATCCAGGAATTTGTAACGAGATTTTAATCTTTTGGATTTGCTTTCGGCTCCATAGAGAGATTGGCGTTCATCAATTATTTTCTTATTTCTTATTTCTATTTGATTGGTTTCCAGTGGTTTTTTTCACCCCTGTTCTTATTTGGTCCAGTGTTCTTCATACTAGCCACTGGGAGTTCACACCACTGGGCATCTCCATGGTGACATCCAGGAATTTGTAACGAGATTTTAATCTTTTGGATTTGCTTTCGGCTCCATAGAGAGATTGGCGTTCATCAATTATTTTCTTGGTCTGTTCCATAAATTCGTGAGCTTTTCTTCGGATATTGGGCAATAAAGCGGCTTGTGGTTTTTCTACTGGAGTTGGCTTCAAACAGCCTGTTGTTACTCTGTATGTTTCATTTGGGATGACGACAACTTTCCTGTTAGACCGATGTGAGCCAAGCTGGGCAAGCGTACGCTGCCGCAGAATAGCGGAGCGCGAGGGCAATAATTCTCAAAATGGTCGGTCTATCCCGGCTTTATTTCGTCCACAGTTACGAGATTCTTCAGTTGTGCCGGCAGTTATTAAGCATCTCTAATTCTTAGCTACTATGTTTAAGCTTTTTATTTGTTTCACACAAATATAGTCCTCACGATGCCTTGCCATTTTTAATTGAGTGGATTTAACCATTAAAGAACTAAACGAGTTCTTTAATGGTGAAAGGTATCTGGAGGCAATTTCTTTCGGATTGAGGACTTCTAGTTAATTTTGATTACTGTGGACTTGAGCTGGGCTTTCACTTTAATAGCAGCCGGTGAGCTATTTATTCTGGCGTTACTTTATAGGACTGCCTCATCTCAGTGGGCTCACAGCTGAGCTTTTTCGAAGGCTCTATGCACTCTTACCACTGCGTGTAATGTTTATTTTGCCCAAACTGTCCATTTACTTTGTTTGCCTTGCTTCGTTGAGCATTTCTATGACTGTTGTTTCACATGCAACTGTTTCTTTGTTGAATTGGTTTTGACTGTATACTCGGAAAGACCCGGTATGAAACGCTGTCTGCAGCCTCTAGGTATGTGCCGGATTGATATTGTCCTGATTTTCTCCACAAATATATCATAATTCTCTGGGGTAGGACTTAGATTATTGATATGAAGTTTATCCATGTTGCCTTTTTAAAATTGAATATTCTGCGGAAGAGAATTTTCGTTGCTCTTATTACTGCGTAAACCTCTATTGCTATAGGTTTATGTTGGCCTTGAGTTGGTCATGCACCTTTTGATGCAGCAGTTCTGGATGTTGGAATTTACGAAGCAATTGTCTAGGTTGTAACTTCCTGAAAAACCTCCTTCAGATTTTGCTGAAGACGGAGCAAGGCAGTTTTAGGTTATGTAAGAGCGCATCTGCATACTTCTCCACAAATCGTCCATTATTGTCAATCTCATTATAATCCCAAAAGGTGCTGTAGCGATTGAAGTCCCTCACGATGAACTGTGTTCTGATTTCGCAAATTATGGATCTGCGAGAAGCTAACGTTTCTCCCGGTGTTTTGTATACTGATGTTACTGCAACTCAGAAAATTATTCTAATTAGTGCACCTCTGCTGATTACGTCCAGACGTATCCACTTTCTCTGGTGATTTTAGCATTATTCTTTTGTTTATCAGCAAACAACACTGACAGTGTCCAATTTTAAACAAATGAATTGCATAATACTATTTTTATTTCTGGTAAAAAATGTGATGTCAAGCAGCATTTTTTTTGGTGAGATCTTTAAAACTGTCTTGAAGCACATGTAACAGCTCTACTTCTCCCTTTTTATTCTTACACACTTACAGTAAACCGATAAATATAAACTGATATATTTCTTAGTTAAAAGTTGGAAAATATAACAAAATAAGTTTTTGAGAATTGAAATCGTCACGTCGTAATACTGTATTAATAAAACGTTTTTAAGTGGCGAGGTAGAATATCCAACGCCACATATAGAAAATGTTAAGTTTCGAAAATTTAAAAGTGATAATGAAAAATTTTGTTGATGGTTTAATTTACACCAAGATTCTTTAATCATTAAAAGCAAACAATTAAGAGTGAGACAATTCAAAAGCCCAACTTCGAATATTGAGTATTGCTAAAATAAAAAGTATTATTGCCGATAAGATGTAAGTAATCTTTTTTTAAAATGAAATCGAATATTGTTTAATATTTTCTCAAGTTTTATGTTTTAATAAAATATTTGGGTATAACTAAATAATAATAAACATATTAATGTTTTAGAATTAATATTAATATTATACATTCAGCGTCAGTAAATTTTTAGAAAGTTGCTTAAAAAAAGTTTATCTTAAATGGATTGGAATCTGACGATATGTCACCCATGATATAGAAGATACTTGAGCGGCAGCTGATGGACTAGTAAATGGAACGGCAAACGTGCAATTCCTTAACTCAGAACCACCTGGTGAGCCGTGAATGATCACATCAGGAATTTCAGTGACATATTTATCATAATATAGAGGCAAATTCTTGTATCCTCGAAAGGAATACAAAAATATAAGATATTGTCTGTTAGTACTTTGATTGAGGAACCGGAATTTTATCAAAAAATAATACACAGCCATGTGAATTACGTGCATGGTTCAATCATTTCTATCTTCATCCTCCCATTTGCCTTTACTATTCGCCGAAGTGCTTCCCTCATTTTTTACTCAATCGTTTAAATGAACATTCTTGATGCTACGTTTTTTTCCCAAGTTTTAAGTTCCTTTCTCTTCAAGAGATTATCATTTTTTTTTCAGTTCTATAATAAATATCAAATAAAATCATTTGTTGTTGATCTTCCATGCATAAGTCCTAACTGATTTTCAGACGTTTTGGTTTCTTCGCTATCGTCTATAAATTACCCTTTCCCATGTTTTCATGGCGTGATTAAGCAGTTTTGTGGCATTGCAGTTCTTGAATTGTTGAACAAATTTTTTATTTTATACACGATAATAATATCCTGCTTCTCCATTTATCCAGCATTTGCCCCACTTCTGTTAAAGAAACTAAAGGAATATCATCTTGTCCAATTGACTTAGTATTGTTATTTTGGTGACCATTGCTGTTACTAATTTTTTGTCAAAATCTGTTCATTAAATAGCCAAAGTATTTTTTTCCATCGTTGTCTGACATCCTTTTAGTGAATTAGCATTTTATTGTTTTTTTTTCTCGGATACATGTAATCGGATTAAAATCTTTTGCTTTCTTTGTTCTAAGTTTGGCTATTTTACCTTCATTCTTCGGAATCCTATATGCAGCTATCCCTTTACTCTTGGTTATAAGGTTCCCGCCGATGACGACTTTGGATATTGCTGCATACAGCAAGAGGTTAAACAATAGAATCCACAAGGAAAAAAATTCCTGTATCTGGCTGTATACCACGTATCACAAAAAGAGGTTAGGCTTTGTAAATGGGTATATTTATTTAAAAAACCCTTAAAAGGGCTACATCAATAAAACAAACGTTTTCGGACCACACAGTCCATCATCATGTTTTAAAATCGAAAATGCTAGGTCACAATGCCTGAGCCACCAAAATACTAGGGTAAAAACCCTTTAAATTACATTTAGTTATAAAAGATTGTACATTGTCTTATAAAATAACTGTGATGTTCAGTATTAAATTAAATTTGACTAGAGGTAACACATGGCTGAATCGAGTTACCAGAGCCGGTGAGAGAGAACCTCTACACGCGGAGAACAGCTGGGAACTGATGAACAAATGACCATCACGTTCGATGGTGGTAGAGTAGCTGGACGAGTAGGAAGAAAAACTTACCCGCCACTTAGATATTTGGGACCTACGCTACTCTAAAACTAAAGCTTCCAGGAGTCTGGAAGGGTGTGTAGCCTTGAGGAGTTCGAAAAGATCCG